TTGATGGATCTCATGAGGGTGCTGTCTGCCAGCTCAGCTCACAGTTCATTTCCATCGGTGTCACCATCTCAGTCAACCCAGTCACATTTATTCAACCATTTCTCCACTACATTGTATTTAGCCTCGTTGTATTATCAAAGTTAGTGAAATACGGGAAAATATAAATATAGGCACCAGTAAACGGTAGTGTAATTCTCACAAACTTAAGAACAATCAAGACAGAGGAAACCCTAAGGTAGTGAATCTTTAGCCTCAACAATGACAACTCATACTGGGAATTCACTATGCATAAGTCACTATTCTAATCACTTGATGTGACTTAATTCACCGAATTCTCACAATACTATGTAAGAAATAAATGAGGTACTATTATTATCTCTGTCTTTACAGATAAGGAAAACCATTCACGATTTGTAGACACGGAAGTAACCTGACTCAAATCGGAAAGTTGCCTTCCTTTTAGAGTTTAAATGGTCAACTCTGCACAGCTGGGATGGAGAAGCCCACATTTAAAGAATATTCATTGGGACACCTGGCTGGCTGAGCACGAAGCTCTTGATCTCAGGTTCATGAATTCAAGCCCCACATTGGATGGCAAAGCTTACTTAAAAGAAAAAGGGGGAGAGTGCCTGGGTGGCTGGGTCATTTAAGCATCCAGCTCTTGATTTTGGCTCAGGTCAAGCTCTCATGGTTTGTAAGATCGAGCCCCACGTTGGGCTCTGCGTGACAGTGCGGAGCCTGCTTGGGATTCTCTTTCTCTTCCCCCCCCCCCCACTCGTGTGTACGTGTGTGCTCAAGTGCACACACGTGCACGTGCAAACACACATGCGCGCTTTCTCAAAATAAATAAACAAAATTAAAAAGAACATTTGCTAAATTCTGGAATTATAGCCTAAGACTATGTCTAAGAAACAAGGCACAATTAGGGATTTTATACTACATTTTAGCCCTCTGGAAATAGAGTCCTCTCCTTAAAAAGCACAAATCTGGGGCGTCTGGGTAGCTCAGTTGGTTAGATGTCTGACTTCAGCTCAGGTCATGATCTCACAGATCATAGGTTTGAGCCCCACATCAGGCTCTGTGCTGACTGCGGAGCCTGGAGCCTGCTTCGGATTCAGTGTCTCCTTCTCTCTCTCTGCCTCTCTCCCACTCACACTCTGTCCCTCAAAAATGAATAAATGTTAAAAAATAAAAATAAAAAGCACAAATCTGTTTTTGAATTTCATACATCTACCATTGGTGTGTATTTCCAGGAGCATGTTGTATATGAAAGTAGGAAGCCCTTGTGTTGTTGCATATGTTTTTGATGTACATGGAAAAATGTGAATCCTTTGGGGACAGGACACTTGTCTCATACTTCTCCAGTGCCTACAACAGTGCTCAGCACATGATTCTGGTGGTGAGTGTGAAAGCAGCAGTGGTTTGGAAACCATGCTGCCAACCTGCAAGGCACCAATGCCAAGAAACACTCAATTCAAAGTAAATCCCCCTACTGATAATGGGAGCAGTTATGTAAGTGTGGGAGCGGGAGGTATACACAGAAAATCTCTGTATGTTCCCCTCAATTGTACTGTGACCCCAAAACTGCTCTAAAAAATAGATATAAAAATCTATTAAGAAAAAAAGTAAATTCCCCAAGTGTTTTTACCAATATCTTGAAAAATATGTTATCCTAAGTACACATACACACACATCTATTTGTATACACAAATATCTATAGCCATATCTATAAACACACATTTATAAGTGCATGATAATAAAGGCAGAACATATGTTACACCTTAAAACATAAATACATTCAGAGGTGCATGCTGATGTGTTGAAATGATGACTGTTGGAAAACCCACGCATTTTGTCCTGTTGAAGAGGTGAATGGAACCGCCCTCATGGCCTCACCAAGATGATTGTGTATAAATTAAGGCAGCAGACAGATGCAATAGGCAAACCACCGTGTGCCTCAAATCTGGAGTGCCTCCCATGTCCCTTCCTCAGAGACTCTGTCCCCATTCACCATCTTTCCTTGATGGGGCGGTAGCTTTGGGACACCACCCCTGTGATGACATCTGCTTGGAATGCAGCTGTACAAACACCTGGTCCAAGCAGAGCCTCGGACAGGCTTGCCAGTGACCTACGACCAGGTGCCGTGGTTTGAAACATTGAGTTGTGTGAGTCAGATTCTTTCTTTCTCTTCCTCCCTTTCTCTGGGACTTGAACCAACAGACCAAGAGGAAAGTTTCCAGTAGCTGTGGGCAGTGTGGCTGAAAGATCGTCTGGGAGCCTGAGTCAGGATGATGATGACAAACTGAGGACACTGTGCAAGCTGAAATTATGGGAGGAGGAGCCACCAGGAGGGAGTTGCAAAAAGTAGGGAGAGCTTGATGAGACAGAGAACGCCCATCCACACCAAGAAGCCGAGAAGCCGGAGAGCTTGAGGACAGAGAGCTGCACAGCCCCACCCTCATTTGTGTTCTGTTTCCCTTGGGCTCCTGGGCATGTATGCTTTTAAACATTTGTTTTTCTCATAAGAGGAGATACCAGCTTAGATCATGATCTCATGGTTCATGAGTTTGAGCCCAGAGTCAGGCTCTGCACTAGGATTCTCCCTCTGCCCCTAACCAGCTCAAGTGCGTGCTTTCCCTTTTCTCTCAGAATAAATAAACTTTAATATCTATATATTTTTAAAAATTTTTAAACTTTTTCTCATGAAGAAACCTATGTGGGTTTTTTTTTAAACCTTCTTGTCACTAAAAGAGACTAAATTAGAATAGCAGATTGTTTCTGACAATGGATGATCTAAACAAAAAAAAATCAAGAAACACAAAACAAAAAAAAGTATTGTACAGGCACAGTGATACAGGGCTGTGAAGACTAGTGACAGTCATTCCATTCAGTTGTCCCCAAGGGCCTCAGATGGGTTCAACCCTGTGTGATCGATATTTATAGTGATGACCTTGAGTCTTCAGGCACAAGCTGCTTGACATTCAGCATATTTTCAAAAGCCAATGAAGCATGTAGTTTACCACAGAAAAAATTTCCTTCAAGTTACAAAGTTTTGGTTCCTTAATAAGGCAAGGTTCATGCAATTATTTGTTATGTTTTAGTTTCTAAAATACATACATTTATTTATACATGCCGTGGCTTGCTCAAGCAAAGATTTAAGATGACTGACGAGAATACACAAAACCCAAGAAGGTAGTATAATTGACAGGAAAGAAGAAGGAGAAAGAACAACAGGGTGTGGACATAAAGTTTTTCCAGAAGATTCAGTTATCTGCAAAGCTCACTTCTGTGGAATACCTCATTCCTTGATAGATCATGGAACACCATAACTAGTATTACTCACCATTGAATCATTTTTAAATCTGGAAGAAGGTCAGGGCTTTTATTCTGAATGTAAAAGTCAAATTGAAACTGAAAAAAAGAGAAACTATTGGCTTAAATCAGAGAAAAGATAATAACAAAAATGCATAATTTTAAAAAAGTTATTTACTTATTTATTTTGAGAGGGAGAGAGAGAATCTCAGGCAGGCTCTGTGTTGACAGCTCAGGTAGTCATGACCTGAGCCGAAATCAAGAGTCAGATGCTTAACTGTCTCAGCCTTCCAGTCGCTGCAATAAAAATGCATTTAATAAGCTGTCAGTTTAAGTATATGTTTCAATATTTTCTGTTCCTTTTTTCTGGTAAAAATCATTCCTTTATTTTAGTAAAATAATTGTTACATTATAACAAAACTTCTTTAAATGTAATCTCTACACCCAACATGGGGCTTGAACTCATGACCCTGAGATCAAGAGTCAAGCTTTTCCCACTGAGCCAGTCAGGTGTCTGGCACTACTTTTTTCAATGTTAATCATAAGAAGCTCATATTATGTTACCCAACTGTTAATTCTCTGCAATGTCCTTTATATAAAGCAATATTAACATATTACGAAAAAAAGAGGTTTAAAGTTGAGTTAAACTCTATATACAAGTGTAATTTTCTTACACAAATGTCATTTTTAGGTTGCATAAAAAAAACAAGAATTTTTCCAGGAGCTCTGGTTTGGTGAGGCTCCCAGGATTTTAATAAAGGTGTTCCAACTCATATTAGGCCTGCATCAGGGAAAATTACTTCTGAAATTTGTAGTAGGACATTCCTACTATGGAGTTTCTGCTCACAGGATAAGAGTTGGGGCTACAGAGGCAGGCAAATATACAGATTTGAGGCATAATAACTGAGTGGTAGCTTGGGCAAGTTACTTCAAACTTGACTTAGTTTATTTGTTTCTTCTTCTTTTTTTTTCTTTTTGGCAGTTTTATAACTTCATTTGGAATCAGAAGTTAGTTCTCAACCATATCAACTGTCTGTAGATTTTCTTTAAGTTTATTTATGTATTTTGAGAGAGAGAGAGAGAGAGAGAGAGAGAGAGAGAGAGAGAGAGAGCATGAGCAGGGAAAGGGCAGGGAGAGAGGGAAAGAGAAAATCCCAAGCAGGCTCTGCACTGTCATGGATGCAGGCCTTGAACTCATGAACCATGAAATCATGACCTGAGCCAAAACCAAGAGTTGGATGCTTAACTGACTTAGCCACCCAGGATTTCCTGTCTGTAGATTTTTGAAAGTGGTGACAGGTACCTAGGTAACCTGAGCTCGTTTGGTGAATCTTCATCGTCATTACATTTCCTGGACAACCGTATACGGTATGGGATTCCTTACTCTTTTTTTTTTTTCCTTTCATAGTTTATTGTCAATTTGGTTTCCATATAACACCCAGTGCTCATCCCAACAAGTGCCCTCCTTCATGCCCATCACTCCCCTCCCCCTCTCCCCCACCCCCATCAGCCCTCAGTTTGTTCTCAGCATTCAAGAGTCTCTCATGGTTTGCCTCCCTCCCTCTCCCCCACTATTTTTCCCCTTCTTCTCCCCCATGGCCCCCCGTTAAGTTCCTCCTAATCCACTTATACGTGCAAACATATGGTATCTGTCCTTCTCTGCCTGACTTATTCCGCTCAGCATAACACTCTCAAGTTCCATCCACGCTGCTACACATGGCCAGATTTCGTTCTTTCTCATTGCCACATAGTATTCCATTGTAGGGACATTCCTTATTCTTTTAGCCCAGACAGCTTTGTTGAGTCCTGTATCAGTGCACACATCTGAAGCTCCCACTCCCTCATGGCACATTTCTGGATCTCCTTCAGCACTCAAGGGGCACACCTCCAGGGATGCACTTGTGAACGGTGATGGTGTATTCTCTGGTCACTGTCTTTTTGGTGGCAGAATGCCCTTTCTTCTCACCACCTTCTTCGTGGGAGCTGGTCTGTGGCCCAGGTTACAAAGCTCAGCTTAGTTGCTTAACTGCAAATGAAGTTAATAGAGTTGTATGGAAGATTAGATATTATACGATAAGCATTTAGCTCATAGCTGATACCTACTGGACCTGATAAATGCCTGTGACGGTAGAAGCAGTGATTGCCCAGAACATTCCACATTGATGTGACACAAGTCTCTGTTTCACTAGTGCTTTGTTAAAGATTTCTGGCCTAATTTTCCCATCAACAAATTTTTCTTTAATTGTATTGCTGTGGATATGGTCTGATGTTCTCTTATGGTTCAACATGGAAACTAGTTTCATTGCCTTATATTATCTTCTTATTAATTGTCTCCAAAATGTATAAGGCGTGATTTTTTTTCACAGATGGATTTTTTTTCTTTGTTCCTTTCCATTCAAGCCCAGATAAAACTGCATTTTTAATCATGCCCATAGATGTGTAAAGTCTCATCTGACTAGCTCCATCATGTGTCTATAATGAGTTTTACAATTTTAAAAGTTTTCATTTCATTGCTACTATGAACTGGAATAACAATGAATATCTGGTAATACATCAGTGAGTCCTCTTAAAAATAGGTGTAAATCCAGAAAACTGGGAAAACCATAAAGTGAGGATTTCTGAGGGGTTGCAATTGGCCCCAGATTTATGGTGATCATAATCTAGCATTCAAATTATGACGATGTTTTGGGAATGCAAGAGGGGTGCAATTAATAATTTCACTGACATAAAAGCATAAACCAGGACTCTCCCAGGTAAACCAAGGCATGAGACTGACAGGCCCAAACTAACAATGTGTCATCCTAGATGGGGATGGGGTAGGGCAGGGCTTGAAGCGATGCTTTGTGAAATTATAGGCTTTCTATCACGTGCTTGTATTCTATATTCTATGTTTGAACTTGTGTGTTAGTGGGTTCTGCTTTGAGAATCCAAGCTCTGCCCTTACAGTACAGGACTCCATTCGAATCCCTGCATCTCAAGAAAAACACAATGACAAAGTCAAAGACCCAGAAAAGCATAACTAATGCAATCAAGAGCTATGGGTCTTCATGTGTTGGCAGTGATGGCATCTCTGAGAATTTGGATGAAAGCTATTAACTCTCTCTGAAGAAAAGGGCACACACAAAAGCCCCCATGACTTAGGCATTACGACTCAGAGGGCCATGATCTGCGTGATCGCACCCAGGGACGCAGGTCTGAATCCCTAAGCTAGAACACATGGTATTGGTGACAGGGAAAAGGAACCAATATTTGTTGGCCATCTTTATTTATGTTTCATTTCCCACTCACATTAATCTATTTTCTAGATAAAGGAACTAAAATAAAGCTAGAGAAATCAAGATCTCACAGCTGGTTAGGCGGCAAAGCCAGATTTCAAATTTAGCTTTACGTGCCACTGAATCTCATCATCTAAGTACTGCCTAAATATAAAAACTAATATATGTATTTATATTTCATTCTGGAAGAGAATTATATTACAAAATATAATTACAAGATGAACATAAGCATTTATCTCCGTTTGAGTCCCACCTATTGGAATTAACTCTTGAAACTGGAGATTATGAGAGCAAATAAAAGTATTAATAAAAATCTCAAACGCTAATATGATCAACAGCTAGTGTCAAGAGAGTTATAGATCAAGATTGATAAGTTGTTGATGAATTATTAAAAAGTTTTTCAGTGTCTCATTGTATCCCTGGTTTAACTGTGAGGAAAACAGCTACATCTTTGCCTGTATCCCCTGAAGCCCATGTCAGTCGTGGATGGGATGGTGGCTTAGGCAACGTGTCATTTCCAACATAAGTAGTGTTTCTTGCATAACTGGTAAACTTCCAATATTCCTTTTGGTACCCTCGTTCATTAGTTCCTCAGATACCTGATCATATTTGGCATGCTCCTGAAACATCCAATCTGTTTCTCTGAGAATTTGGTGGATCCCATTTGTTTCTCTGGGAATTTGGTGGATCCCATCTGTTTGGACCTGGTCAATGCCTAGTACAGAGTGAGTGCTCACCAGATGCCATACTGTTTCCTTTCCAGGTCATGCTACAGACTGCTGCCAGAAGAACTCTCTACCCTAAACTGTAGCTCCAAATATGGCAGTTGCTTGCACAAAACTACTGCCACTTCTTATGTCTACACCTTTCCTATAATTATCTTCTGTCTTCCTCCTTCTAAAATTGTAAGCTTGGTGAGGACAGAAAGCATTGTACTCACAGTTGACCTATAGTAGGCATTCAGTTATATCTATTGCCTCACTGTGTGGATGATCACAGCAAGAAGTTAGTCAATATGATGTTCTTTCCATTTTAAAAACAGAGATACAATTTCCATATCCTTCTAACACATACAATTCAGTGGCTCTCAGTACATTCACAAAGTTGTATGACTGTCACTACTATCTAACTGCAGAATATTTTCATCAGCCCAGTAAGAAAATGCATACCCGTGAGTAAATTACCACCACTCCCCACTCTCCGCCTGGGCCCTGGCAATCAATAATTTACTTTCCCCTATAGATTTCCCCATTATTTACTTTAATGTATATGGAATCATCTAATATGTGGTCTTTGTCCCTGGCTTCTTTCACTTAATATAAATGTTTCTGAGATCCATCTGTGTTGTGGCACAGGTCAGCACTTCCTTTTTTTTTTTTTTTAAATGTTTTTATTTATTTCTAGGAGAGACAGAGAGATAGAGAGAGACAGCGTGAACAGGGGAGGGTCAGAGAGAGGGAGAGAGACAGACTCTGAAATAGGCTCCAGGCTCCCAGCTGGCAGTCAGCACAGAGCCCGACGCGGGGCTCGAGCCCACGAACCGCGAGATCATGACCCAAGCGAAAGTCGGACGCTTAACCGACTAAGCCACCCAGGCGCCCCAACACTTCCGTCCTTTTTAAAGGCTGAATAGTATCCCATTGCATGGAGATACATTTTGTTTACCTGTTCTAAACAAGATTGTTTTTAACATCCCTACAACACCAGGATCCTATGCTTACGTGAAGGGCTACCATGGAAACTCAGTAAGTCACCAGAAATCATTATGCTTCATACTTTCTCCAGGCCCTGAAGTTTTCAAATCTTACCTATCACAGATTCCTGGGAGAACCATCCTGTTGTAACTCACCAAGTTTGCTTTCTGAACTCTTTAAACAATTAAACCAGAGTCCCTGCCTTTATTTCTGGATTCTTCCCCCACCTGCAATCTCCTCCTCACTGCCCACCCCGGGTCTTGAAACTCCACATTCTGGAATAATATACGTGCACAGTCAGGACTGTACTGCTAATTGTTCTCAGCAGACACGGTTGACTGGGACTGGAGAGGGCTTTCTTCCCACTATTTCTCCCATCCTTCGGCTCACTGCAGTGCAACTTCTACACCATCCAAAAGTCCAAAAAAAAAAAAAAAAAAAAAAAAGCCTTCCTTTGTTTTCCAAGGAAATTCAGGTAAAAGGAGGGGTAGGGGAAACGATATTTTTGACTTTCCTCACAATCCAGACGTTGGAAAGAAAAAGGATTTCCTTTGGGCTGCTGCCACGACTCTGATCTTTTAAGCTGATAAAATATTTCCTTCTTAAAAAAAAAAGTTATGGGAAAATCATACCACTTCAACTTGGAAGCCACGCCTACTGTAACTTTCGCGTTTAAAAGGAAAAAAAAAAATGAGAGGCTTACCTCTCTCTCAGGGAGGGTTTTGTTCCCGACAGTTCAGGTCTGGCACTCCGGAGCGAGCCGGGTCAGCAGCGCTGTTCCGAGGCTAGCGTGGAGGACTACAGGATCCAGAGGGCTTTGGAAACTCCAGCAGCTCCAAGCTTGTTGGCTACTACGGTTTCCCTGAGGAGTGACGCTGTGAAAACAATCCCTGATTGGTCAGGCCTGAGCTGAATTCTCCATTTATGGACAGATTGCCCAGCCCGAGCCGAGGCTCTGCCGGAGGAGTACGGAGTTAGTGGCCGAAGAAAGAGGAGCGAGGCTGGGCAGCCAGACGGACGCGCGGAGAGCATCGGGCTCACCTAGGCGGGCGGCGAGCGCCCGGTCCGAGCGGACCCCTGCCCTCCGCAGCATGTGCCCCGCCTGCTAAGTCTCCTCCTCCTCGCCCTCACCTAGCGCCGCCGATCCCGCCTGGATGGAGTGCCCCCAGGGTTCCCATTGGCTCCTGTGAGTGCTTGGGTGTCGAGAGCCCGTTTTTGGCGAAGGGGACCAACTTTTGAAGTTCTCCCAGGAGCCTGCGTTCCAGCCCCAGCTCTCGGGCAGCCGGACCCGGCAGAGGCGCGACCGCGACGCGAGTCACCATGGTGAGTTGGCTGCGCGGCGTCCCGGGACCGCCTGACCGGGGGACCGGGCAGGAAGCGCGGGCGCGGGGCACCCACCTTGGGCGCGCAGCCGAGGCCAGGGGTGGAGAAGGTGGACGCGGGAGTCGGCACGTCGCGATCTCTGCTTGCCTGCCGCTTTCCGAAAACCCTGGCTGGGGGAGAGGCAGCGAGGGGCCAAGGAAAACTTTCTTTCAAGTCGCTTTGGGCGCCGCGAAACTTTTTGTGGCCGGGCTGCTGTGGCTGCCAGCCGTCGGGAGCCAGCGTGGGGGCAGCTCTGCCCTCCGAGGCACGGCCCGCGGAGGGGACCCCTCTCTTCCCGCGGGGACGGAGGGGGCAGCGCCGGTGGCCCCGCGGTCCTGCCAGCGGCGGCGGGGATCGCGGCTCCGAGGCGCAGGAGCCGGCTCGCCGCGCCCCCTCCCTGCGCGCCCCGCGCCCCCCTCCCCGCCTCCCCGCCCCCTGCGCGCCCGCGGCCGTCCCGCCCGGCAGCCGCTCGCCGGCGGGGGGGGCGCGGGCCGCACAAAGGCCGGCCGGGGCGCCAGGTAGGGCGAGCACCTGGCGCGGGGCGCGCGGCTGAGCGCGAGAAGCGACCGGGCGCACCCGCAGCCTCGCCGGCCGGGACTTCGCCGGGCGCCGGCCCGTTGCGTCTCCGCGCCCGAGAGGCCGAGTAAACACCCCCGCCCCCCACCCCTTCCCCGAGGGCGAGGTGACTGGCGCTTTTCGGGTGTACAGCGAACGGGTCGCACGGGAGGAAGTCGAGTGTTTTGTTCTTTTTCCTTTGGCACTTGGGGAATACAGGGAAGTGGCTGACTTTCCCTCTCCCCGCCCCCGTCCGCCCCCATTAACCTGAGCCGCATCCCCCGGGGTTTTGGTGCGGTGTTCGTTTCTTTCCGAAGCACAAAAGCAAGGACTCTGTTTTGAAGAGGTGGACGGTGCATCCGAGAAAGAGAGAAAGTTCTAACACAAGGCTTCATAGTTTCCACACTTGCTTCCTTTCAAAGAACCGTTCCTGGGTGGGTGACCTGATCCTCCTCAGGTTAGTTTTGTTACGTGTTAATGACTGTGAATGGGGAGCTCAGTCAAAATCAGAACTAGTGCGACACTAATTTAAAAATCTATCCCGCAAGACCAGCCTGAGAAATGTAGCAAAGGCCCATGCGAACCTGTATACACAACTCAAAAGCAGCTCTAAGACCCAGCGCTGTGTTTATTCAGAAGAACGCTTAAAAACAAAACAGTCTCTCAAAGGGCATCTTTGACAGAAGCTTTTTCTTTTTATGTAGTCCAGAATTGTGTCACCTCTGCCCTTCCCCAAGAGGACACTTGATCTGTAAATACATTTCCTCTTTAAGTTTCAGGGTTTGAGGAGTCAGTTTACCCTACATTATTTTTGGAAGCCCTGTAAGAGAACCATTCACTTGTACTGAGTGTGTGGTTGGGTGGAAGAGCTGCCTAATTGGGCCTCCACCTAATTGGACACTCGAATTTAAGCAACGTGATAGTCCTACTGCTTTAGAATTGCTGTAATTATTTTCCATGGTTCAATATTTCTAAAAAAAAAAAAAATCAATCTGTTTATGTCAAGAGCTTAAAGAAACTTACTTTATTCAAATAGTTGAGTGCTACCTTAAGAAACTTAACTTTCCCTTAGTTAATTCATTTTTTATGCCCGACACACTGCAGAATAGTCTCTGATGCCTTTTCTGGAGTCCGTGGAAACTCCGTGCTCAGTTCGGCCACATTGCTTTTGAAGTAGATGGTTGATCGAATGGAAGCAGAGGAGGCATGCATGTTCTAAGGAAGAGAATTGTTTCCAGAGCTGTGTAGTACGTCTGTCTGTCGGAGGACAGGGTGTGACTTACCTATTGATGGGGTCCCTGCCAGCAGCACAGATGGCCGTGTTGTGGGCAGCCAGGCAGCTATCAGTGCATCAGAGAAAACTTAAAGCAGCTGCTGTCCTGAAATAGGACATGCGCCGTCGCTCCATCTGCTAGATGTAGAGTAACATCGCCGAATTAAATGAATCATTTCTTCACTGGCTTGAAATTGTTCCTTAGCTAGGTGCAGTTGTCTTAGAACAGAGTATTCCCCCGTCTGAAATAGTCGGCAACCTCAGTTAGAATGTTTGCTGTTGAGGGGCGCCTGGGTGGCTTAGTCGGTTAAGCGTCCGACTTTCGCTTAGGTCATGATCTCGCGGTTCGTGGGTTCGAGCCCCGCGTCGGGCTCTGTGCTGACTGCCAGCTCAGAGCCTGGAGCCTGTTTCAGTCTGTGACTCCCTCTCTCTCTGACCCTCCCCTGCTCACACTGTCTCTCTCTCTCCTAGAAATAAATAAAAATATTAAAAAAAAAAAAGAATGTTTGCTGTTGATATACGACCCTTTCAAGCCCAATGAGGCTTCATTTTGTGTTTCGTTCACATCTGTGTGGGTCTGCCCAGCTGCATCCTTCAGCTGCTTAGGACAGGAAGAGCAGGGGCATTGCCTTCAGGGGGTGTGGCTGAGGGGTAGCATGAAGAGGGGAATCCGTGGGGGCCCTGGGCGGGCTGTAGGGAGAGCTCCAGTACTGTTGTTGATGTGTTTGTGTGTGTGATGTTTTAGGAAGTCTGGCAGCACACGAGGAAGACTCTCAACCTGTCCCTCAGGCCCTGCCAAGACTCATTCAGTTGTGACTCATGAGGAAGATTGTCATTTTCTGATTCATGAGCACAATGTCCAGTGTAGAGTTCACCTCATCTCTTTTTCCTGAAAGCTCACTTTGGCACACTTTTCTCCATCTTTGAAGAAGCAACAACTATGTAATAGTAATTTGTACCCTTTTCCTTAGGAGACTTGACGAACTGAAAAACAAACAAACAGACCTCTGCATGTCTTTATAATTTAGTGCACCTTGTTTAGGACAGTACCGCGAGCTCCTCTGACTTTGATTAATCATCATAGCCTACTAAGGTTTCCTTGTCGAATCTGGCTTTATCGTCTACAAAGCAAGTTCTGTTTTTGTGGGCATGACAGCTTGGACTGTCCAATGGACTGGACCCCGTGTGTGTAGCTCTTGCTATATACGTCAGATGCAGAAATTATTATTCATAGGGCTTCTCTGACTTATATATACAGAACTATTTGAGTAAATCTGGATTGGCTATCACCTCAGACGATGGGCAGGATACTGCCCTTTCCCCCACTTGCATATTATTTGTGAGTAAACTGCAGATGTTATTTATAAAAAATACGCACAAGTAGACTTATGTACTTAGAAATCTGTCAGACAGCTGACTACAAGGTAGGTATGTTCCTTTGGGTGAAGGCATGGCATGTATTTAGAAAGTCTGGAATCCATTTCAAGTATGTTTTCTGGGAAGGTAACCTAGTCCACTTCCACTGATTAGTTTATCAGATTGCTAACAGTTTCCTGGCCAAAACGACATAGTACAAAGCCAAAATAAAACAAAAATGGGTTGAAGTACAGAAACGTTTTGATGAAGGCAGAGGGGTTAGGGAAGGATATGAAACTCAGGACACTATCTAGGGGCCAGCGTGGGTTGGGCAGCCTCATGGGAAAAGTTTGGTCAGCCCAAGGCGCAAAGGGAAAGCCAGTGGAGCAGCAGACAAAAAGGAATAGAGAAGTGGAGGAAGCAGACAGCAGTAGAAGTCGCCTCCTCCACACTTCTGCCTCGGATTTAAGTTTTATCGGTAGTTGCAAACTCAAGTATCTACAGAGGCCAGCATACAATTTTTGGTGGGGTGAGACTGGTCTCTAGAGAGTAAAATATACCCCTGTAAAGAAGCACCACCATTACTTGACCTTAGGCCACGGTTAGTGACATCTACCACATTACCATGGTTACATTGACCATATTACATATTTCAAGGGAAGCTGGAAATCCAAATTCTTGTGCCAGACTGGTTAATTCTTAAAAGTGTTCTGATCATTGCTGTGAGGCCACACGCCTGCAGGTCAGCTGTTTGTAGCCACTGTATTGTAAATCTCAAAGTGGTGTCCCTGAGAACCTCATGCTTTCTTCCATTCGCTCACCGGCAGGAATGTCTAAACTTTAACCATATACCAGTGATGGTGTTTCACTGATACATCCACACCTTCCCACTGGGTTTCCTTTAAGAGAGGGAGTTGCCTGGTATTTTCAGCCTATGGGACCACCAGGCTATTAACAGGGAAAATCTGCATCCAGATTTGGATGTGTAAGTTGTATGAGTGGAGAGGCTGTAAACTGAACTTCTCTTTCTTAACCCATTCCACCTGCTCCCCCTTCCCTTATGGGGAAAAATCCCCCATTATTGCATACTGGATCCCTTTTATTACTCTTCTCCTAGTTGAATCTCCTGGATTTGAGGTCTGTCTCAAGAGTTATCTTTGGGCCCACTACCCAGGAGATAATGAGCATTTTGGTAAATATTGACTTGGGATATGACTTTTTGCTCTTGTACTCAGTGTTAATGTCGTGAGCTCACGTGAGACTAAATGAAAGAGAGAACATGTAGTTCTTTGCAGCTCCTAATGAGAAATGGTTGGGTCTCTCTCATTACTTGGTCAGAACTTATGACTGCTGTCTTCATCAGCTTCAAAAAGCAGAAATCGTTAGAAACTTGTATCCCATTGCAAAGTATTATGAGCTTCGGTATGGAATATATAGAAATTCTGTAAGTCATGATTTTCCAAGCATGAGTCTTCTAGCATTTTTTTTTTTTACAAAGATGCAGCAATTGTGTTTTCATCAATATGTTATTAAAATGGTGAGGTTTTAATATTTTTATTTTTATTATTATTTTTTACCTTGCTGGGACTTAATATTTACAGAACAATAAGGGGTTAGAGGTTAAATGCCAAAGGTACTAAAAATAAGTGTCTTGGCCTTACAAGCACATTCTGTAATAATGGTAAACAAATTGTGTCTTGAATTTCAGCTTCACAGTTTATATTGGCAGAGACAAAAAGTTTTTGGGCATCGTAGCAGAGTATTTTTTTTCTTTTTACCTATCTTTATGACAGCCACACTTGAGTTAAGTAGAACTGCAAGTGTGCTCCCTAAAATCGAGGGTTTGACTTTGACCAGCCATGGAACTTTGCACTGTACGTCCATCCCAGTGAAGTCAGCCCGCCCTTCTGAGTTGCCGCCAGGGAGTGATGTCATTAATGTACCAAGCACTTCTGAATGGTCATTTAAGAAAAGCTATGCAATTTTTTACTTCCTTTTTGACGTAAAACTCTAGTGTTCAGCTTGATCACCCATCTTACTCATACCAAGTCCCTCTCAGCTGTTTCCAGAAGTTACGTTCTACCTCACAGGAGAAAAAAATGGACCCTTCTGAAGATGTGAAGTATCATACACAATAGGCTTTGGAAGACGAAGAGGCTTTCCA